TGAGACATGTTAACTCTCTTGACTGTGATGATCTTTTCATGAATGTATATACACAGGTCAAAGCTAATTAATCGCACACTTAAATATGGGCAATTTATTACTTACCAATTGCGCCAAAATAAAATCATTTTAAAGTCCAAAGTGTCAAAAATAGTAAATTTATTCTAAGCTAATATCAAAGCCCATATTATTATTATCTAAGGAAAATAATTTAACATACAGTATGTAACTTTCAGGACCTCAATTAATCACAGGTTACACTGAAATAAGTCAGGAAACTGACCAAGATTACCTGCTTATTTGGAAAACCTTGACATGTATTAGGGCACTCCAGAAATATCAGGGGGTTTGATGGTGGATTTACATCATACAAAGCAGTATATAACTTCTCATGCATTGGAAATAAAATATTAACTGGTCTAATTGCATGGATCAAGATTAAATAACAAACCAATATTGGAGAATACATGTCCTCATTATTGATCATCAAATAAATAATACCTTTAACTTTCTTTAACGTTTAATGCTGGGCTGATTTATATGAAGTATATTGTCTTTGAGCTCTAATTTCCAGAACATCAACATCTGATATCGTGATTAACAAAGAAGTCCCCACAAGATGTCCGCGGACAATTATTCCCACGATTCTTGTTCTATTCATAACACTGAATCGGAAAATGCCACCCAAGGGACCTCTTCAAGTTGTGAATATAAGTTAGCCTGAGTAAAAGCACTTCCACAGTTACAGTCTCCACCCAACAACGGACATTGTATCAAGCAAACATCAGAAGACTAAAGGAGAATTTGATCTTAGAGAAACTTTGTGTTTAGTAAGTCATCTCATCTCTCTAATTCCATTCTTTAAGATGATTATTAAAATATATCTATGTATCCATTGCACACAGGCCCACCATGCTTGGATATGTGAATAGCTTCTTCAGATTCTGACATTTTCAGAACACTATTCATAATGTTTTCTCCTCCTTCCCTATTCCTACTTGCATTTCTACGGTCTAAGAACAGTGCATGTATGACATGAATGCACTGCTTCAGAGAGGCTTTTAGAATTACAGTTGCATAGAAGAAAAATTATGGCATAGATACAGGAGTGAAAAGGTGTTCACTACTGGGTGGGAAGTAATATTACCATAGAATTAGAATTAAAACTCACAACTAAGAACAAGTCAAGTCAGAACAAATACTGGGGTAAATTTTTGCTTTTCTTTCTGTGTACATCCCACAATTTTCCATAGGAATCTATTAAGTTTTATGAGTTGAAAATTTCCCTTTGTAAAAATATTGAGAATCACCTGTAGTTTTAGATCCATTATTATAGAAATAGTGTAAGAAAGCATCATTGCATATTGAAGGAGAGGAAAATTGCATGCTCATTTTCATTCTCCTAAACCAGACACAATTTGCCTTCTTTAATTTTTCAATTCCACCGATCCCAGAGTGAATACTGGCCATTTTGTGAGAATTCTACTACTGTTGTGGGTAAGAATGCTGGATGTGCTTTTATAAGTTGTCCTATTATCTCTTGTAGATTCTCTGAAAATATCAGTAACTCCTCCAAAGAAGGCAATATGACAGGTGAAAAGGTTAAACTCTGGGAAAGCAAGTAGCATATCTAATGTGCTGTTCACATTTTTACATCATGCAGATTTCTGAGTGTGTGTATGTTAACTTGGAGAAAATATTAGTAAATATTTTAAAGGAAGTTTATCATATGCATTTTTGCTGGCATAAAGTTCTCAGCTAATGCAGTAAAATTGTTTCTGATAAGCTTTGTAAAATGTACTACTTTAAAATCCCATTTAATAAAAAGAAAGGGGAAAACTAATATTTGTTTTACCCTCCATTGAGTATTACAGGAGTGTGTGATTTACATGTTATTTTTCAATTATTGATTTATTTGAAAAGCAGAATGATAGAAAGAGAGGGAGGAAGGGAGGAAAGGGGGAGGAGAAAGAAAGAAAGAGAGAGAGACAGTGAGCACATGAATATTCTGGTTCATTCCCCAAATGGACACAATGGCTGGTTCGGGCTAGTCCAGGCTGAAGCCAGGAGCCCAGAACTTCATCCAGGTTTCCTATATGTGTGACAAAGGCCCACGCACCTGGGCCACCTTCCGTTGCCTTCTCAGGCACATCAGCAGAGAGCCGGATAGGAAAAAGAGCAGCCAGGATTCAAACTGGCGCTCCTATATGAAACGTCATTATTAGAGGCAGTAGCTTACATCACTGCAACACAGTACTAGCCCCCGAGTGTGCTTTAATTCACCTTCAAACACATATGTTAGATTTAGTGTCCTTTTCCTATAGATAAGGAAATTGAAGCAGTAATAGATTTTTCATGAGGTCACAAGTTCAATAAACATAGAGTAAGATTTTAGCTTACATGTAAATAATTTAAAAGCCTATGGTTATTATCTTATTTCTCCTAATATTTTTAATATTAACAGTGGTATAATTGGTTCTCTAATATATGAAATGTTAACAATTTCAAAACTAATAAAAAAGGCATTTTCATTTCTTATTGGTTAGTTGTTCCCTGAGAATATACATATTCATCTTTCAGCAAATTCCAGTTGAAGTCCTGGTTTTGCCCCTAGCTATCTTCTGTCACTTGTTCAACATGTACAGAACTAGTCATTGAAAACTTTTCCTAGAAAAGCATGTGATGCTCAGAAGACATTCCAAGGAAACAATCAGGTTGTTTCAGTTTCTCAGGGGGCAAGAATATATTAGTGTAACATCAGAGTCTTTTCCTTAGAACATGAGCAACTCTTTTCTTCTATAGTGATATGTTTATTTGTAAGTTGTGAGATTGTATCAATATACCTTTAATGAAAAGCAAACATACATATTAATTTCTCAAGGAGAATTTTCATTCATGATATCTATAATTTATATTCCAGAGTTCTTACTATAAGGGATTAGAAAAATGGTGCTAACATGAAGTGTTTTCATTGTTCACCCGCTATCCATGGCCACACCCTGAAGATTTATTTTAAATTATAAAAACACATGCAATACACAAAAACTTAAATGGGAAGAGAAATCCTAAAAGGGGAGAAGATATGGGAAAGCATCATTCTACCATCTAACCTGAGAATTTTCAATTTATATAGAAATCAATATAAGCACTAATATTATCATACTTAAAGATAATCAGTGATCACTGAATTTAACCTCAATCAGCACTAACACTCCAAGATATATTTGTTTATGTATCTAATTTATTTCCATCTTAGAAAAACAGATGAATGATAGCTACACAGACAAATAAATAGACAGGCAGACAGATAATGTCTGTATGTGTGTTGGTCAGAAGATGGTAATATTTCAAACCCTGGCTTTTTCCAAGCAGGCAGCCGTGTATTTCAGTGAAGGCAGATATTGATAACAAAGTCCATCAAGTCAAAATCTACATCTGAACAGCCTCCCACTTTCTGCATAACATCTCACTGTTATTTTTTTCTTTTTCTAAATTTATTTATTTATATAAACAGAACATATTTCATGTATTTCATATATACAGTTTTAAGAACATAGCGATATTTTCCACCTTCCCTCTTCCTTCCTTTCTTATTTTTCTTTTAATTTTTGCAACAACATAATTTCAATTTACCTTGTAATCACAAGCTTAATCATCCACTAAATAAAGAATTCAGTAAGAAGAAAGTAGAAAGACTACTGTTACTCATATGTATAGACAAAGACTATGAACAATAATCTAATCTCAAGATATCAATTTCACTCATATACATTACATTATTTAATCCCTTTTTTGACTAAATGATTTACATTATGTTGCACAAAGGTATTTCAAAGAGTTCATGGAAAATGCACAATATTCATGGTATCACTGCCTGTAGGACCCCAGCAATAGATACTCCATGATTCTCAAGGTATCACATTCTATGATTAGCATCCAATTAGTAGGTGTTTACAAGTCTGCTCATTCAATAAATACATTAGCATGATGATCTGAATACAAAACAAGGCACATACTTTATCATTCAAGGGAAATTCAAAAAGTTCATAGAAAATGGGATTAAAATGAGTTTATTTTTATGCAAAAATTTTTTGGAATCCATACAGAGTTTTCCTGTAAATGAATTTTCCACTAAATCCTTCATTTGATCTTCCATGTTGTTTTACTCCTAAAGTTCCAGCATATGTTTTAGAGAGGTATGCTAAAAATTTCATTTTATGATGTATTACAGAAGTTCAGCTGAGGACTGAAGAAACTATTTTATATGTAGTGAAGAGACTCTGTAATGCTGAAATATCAACTTACTAGATTTCAATATTAGTTCATATCCATCTTCCTAAATATACGGCCTAATTTCTGTGAGCAAGGGTAATTACTGTTCATCAATACTCACCCAGATTCTTCTCATTGGATTAGTGGAATAAATTAATTTCTAAGTGACACCAAGGTCTTTTTTTCCAGGTTTTCTTTCATCCTCACTCCCTTCAAAAAATGTCTACTTAAAAATGAAAAACATGTATTGCTCTCTGTATCCTGGAAATCCAATCTTAAGCATTTTATTATTCTTTGAAGCACAATGCCAAGTATATAAGGCAGCACTTCTCTTCACAATTGTTCTTTTCACTCTCATATACATATGCTAAATGCCAAATTCAAAAAATCCAAAAAACACTAAATTCAAAAAGTCAAGTTGGTGTCAGTGTTGTGGCACATCAGTTTAAGCCACAGCTTCTGACATTAGCATTCTATTTCAGAGTGCCTGTCCCACTCCTGGCTACAGCAGTTGATGGTCCAAGTACTTGGGTTCTTGCCACTCATGTAGGATACCAGGATGGATTCCAGGCTCCTGGTATCAGCATGGCCCGTATCTGGCTGTTGCAGCCATTTGGGGAGTGGATGGAAAAAATCAGTCTCTCTCTCTCTCTCTCTCTCTCTCTCTCTCTCTCCCCTGCCCCTGTCACTCTGGCTTTCAACTAAATACATCTTTTAAACAATTAAGTCCGTTTTCCCATTCCACTAACTGGTAAACTATCCTTCTCTCTAGGTTCACTCGGAGGACACACTTAATAACATGGATTATGGAAATCAGTCCATGGTATCAGAATTTGTGCTCCTGGGACTTTGCCAATCATGGGATATTCAAGTCGTACTGTCTGTGATATTTTTAATGCTTTACCTAATCATTGTATCTGGAAATACCATCATCATGTTCTTAGTCATCACTGACCCCTGTCTCCATTCCCCAATGTACTTCTTTTTGGCCAACCTGTCTTTTGTTGACATGTGGCTTTCCTCCAACACCACTCCTAAGATGATCACAGACATTCTCAGGGAGAACAAAACCATTTCCTTTGGAGGATGCATGTCCCAGATCTTCTTTTCACACTTCATTGCAGGACTTGAGATGGTGATACTGGTGATCATGGCCTATGATCGCTACGTGGCCATCTGCAAACCACTCCACTACTCCACCATTATGAGCCTACAAAAGTGCATTGCACTGGTGCTAACTGGCTGGACCATTGGTTTTGTGCATGCCATGAGTCAAATTGTTGTGATTGTGCAGCTACCTTTCTGTGGTCCCAAAGAAATAGACAGCTTCTTCTGCGATAGACCATTAGTGATCAAGCTCGCATGCATGGATTCCTCCAACTTGAAAATCTCAATGAATGCCAACTGTGGCATTGTGGCCGTGTCGTGCTTCATTTTGTTACTGATATCCTACACATATATTCTTCTCACTGTGCACCGAAGCTCAAAAACTGGAGCATCGAAGGCCCTCTCCACCTGCACTGCCCACATCACAGTGGTGGTGCTCTTCTTTGGGCCCTGTATGTTCATCTATGTGTGGCCACTCAACGTCACCTGGATGGACAAATTTCTTGCTGTGTTTTACTCTGTTATTACACCTCTCCTTAATCCAATCATTTACACTCTGAGAAACAAAGAGATGAAAAATGCTATGAAGAGATTCAGAGGCTACTAAATGGATTCTAAGGGAAATATTTAGTACCAAAAAAGCTAACAATATTTATTTACAGGAGAATTATCCCATTAGTCTTTGTACACATTCAACTAGGTTAAATGAGAATATAAGTGGGTTTTGTCTGTTTGTTGCTTTTTGTTTTGTTTTAGAATGGCATACATTTGTCCTTCTAGAAAGCATTTTAATTAATTTCTCTTGAACTTTCTCCTAACTTGCTTAGAAGAAACTGTTTCTCTAACATTGGCAATGCCCATCAAAAATTCCAATGACAGTTTTTCAACAACATAATTTTACTTATTTCTTTAAAGATGTATTCATCTGAAAGGCAGAGTCACAGAGAGGGAGATACCCAGAGAGATCCTCCATCCACAAATTCACTCCCCAAATGGCCCCAACAACCAGGTCTGGGCAGGGCCAAAGCCAGGAATCAGGAACTCCCTCCATGTTGCCCCTGGGATTGCAGAGGTGCAAGAACTTGGGCCATCTTCTGATGCTCTCCCAGGCACATTAGCAGGAAGCTGGATAAGAAAAAGAGCAGCAGGGACATGAACCAGCACTCATATGGGATGCTTGGCATTGTAGGCAGCAGCTTTACCCACTATACCACAACACCAGCCCCAGAATTATTTTTTATTAACATCCTATTCAAATATTATTGGGAAAAAGCAAGGGGGAAAATGCAAAGAGAATAAATGAAAGTAGTAGATTACAAAATGAATAACCACGGAGACTACTTTTCTTGGATTCCATTAAATCACTAAAAGTAAAAATGAATAAATAAATAAATAAATAAAACATGCTGCTAATTCCTTTGCTTCTTTCAGTCTTAATTACTAAATGTTAATCTTGAGAAGTCTGGAAGATAGCAGAAAAAGGAGGGAGCTTACTGCTCTAGTTTAGGGAAAAATCGTTAAAAAATGTGGAGAGTGCAATTTCAGGGAAGAGTTAGGGATAAAATGGCAGAGGAAACTCCACACAAATTAGAAGGACATTGTGGACCTACATAGAGGGTGTGGACACAAACAACTCAGGACCACAGCAGCCCAGAGCCTCAGCACCAGCTTTGGAAAGAGATGAGACCATTGCAGCAGCCTAAGCCATGGGCCACAAAGCTGCGAGATGAGCCTGACGTGAGCCTTGCTTGGAGCCCTGTGGGGGACAGCGTATCTGCCATCCCAGGGGGAAAAGGCAGCACATTTCTCTCTCCTGACCACCCAGCATCAGCACCCTGTAACTAGCCGAAAGAGGGCGGGCACCATTTTGGACATTTATAACAGCTGAGCCATCTCGTGTCCATGCTCCCAGCAACCAGATGAGAGGAGATGCCTGAGTCTGTCTGAGAGAAATGACAGCTGGCTGAGAGTTCGTGTCTGTGGGAGCCTTGCGTGCTGGAAATGCGAAAACACTGAGGCAGTATGTGAGGATGCAGAGTGTGGCTGGGACTTTGGGCGGTCACTAAGGGAGGCTCCACATGCTCATTGTTCCATGATTCCCTGGTGAGGGTCATTGCTACAGGATCCATGCTCACGCTGAGGACTGCACAGATCCTTTGTATGGTTCTTGGGGCAGCACAGATGAAAACTGTACCAACTGGGTCTAGCACTCAGGCACTGGTCTCCTTTGAGGAGAGTGGGTGTGAGTGAGAACACACCAACAGAGTGCAACAAACCTCTCCTCTTATTAAAAAAAAAAAGAGAGAGAGAGAGAGAGAGAAAGAAGACATTTATATGCCCAGCCTGGGTGTCACCTTGGATACTCCCCTCACCCTAGAGCATTGAACAGAGCTCGCTGACTACACCCAGCACACACCTCTGTGTATTCACTGAAACAGACACTCCACTAAGCCATGGAGACATAGGTCAAAGTTAAAAGCCATCACAAGGTTTAATGCTATAACTAGTACTCAAACAGTATTTTTCACTTTGTGTTTCTATGTGGGTGCAAACTGTTGAATTCTTTACTTAATGTATGCTAAACTGATCTTCTGTATACAAAGAGAATTGAAAATGAATCTTGATGTGAATGGAAGGGGGGAGGGAGAGGGAAAAGGCAGGGTTGTGGGTGGGAGGGACGTTATGGGGGAGGGAGCCATTGTAATCCATAAGCTGTACTTTGGAAATTTATATTCATTAAATAAAAGTTAAAAAAAAAAGCCATCACAAGGGAAAAAAGCTATCACCACAAATGTCTAATGATCAATGCAGCAATTCAAGAAACAAAAATAAGGAAGACAATTTGGCACTCCAAAAGAACACAACAATTCAACACTAGAATGTGAAGATGAAGAGGTTGACAAAATACCAGAAATGAAATTCTAAAAACTGATTGTAGCATTACTTAGAAGTAATCAGAAGCAAATTCACGAACTAAAGAAATCCGAACATGACACGGATGAAAATTTTTCAAAAAATTCAGATTTTAAAGAGAAACAAAACTGAAATTTTAGAAATGAAGATTTCCATAGAACAAATAAAAATATGGTGAAAAGTCTTAAGAACAGTCTTGGTGAGGCCGGTGCCATGGCTCACTCGGCAAATCTTTCACCTGCGGAACCAGCATCCCATATCAGCACCAAGTTCTAGTCCTGGTTGCTCCTCTTGCAGTCCAGCTCTCTGCTGTGGCCCAGGAAGGCTGTGGAGGATGGCCCAAGTGCTTGGGCCCTGCACCCGCATGGGAGACCAGGAGGAAGCACCTGGCTCCTGGCTTTGGATCAGCACAGCGCTGGCCGTAGCGGCCATCTGGGGGTGAACCAACAGAAGGAAGACCTTTCTCTCTGTCTCTCTCTCTCAGTGTCTAACTCTATCTGTCAAATAAATAAAAAAATTTAAAAAAAAAACATTCTAGGTGAGGCAGAAAAAAAGAATATCTGAGTTAGAAGATAATCTCTGAAAATCTTACAGTCAGAACAAAAAAATAAGAAGAAATTAGAAAACTAAAAAACAGTGTCAGAAATTTCTTAGAAGTTCCTAAAGGCATGGAAAGAGAGAATGGATTAGAAGGCCTTTTTAGTAAAATAATTACAGAAAACTACCCTAATCTGGAGAAAGAAAGAGATGTCTAAGTTTAGGAAGCACATAGAACTCCTAACAGACATAACCTGAAGAGATCCTCACCACAACACATAGTCAAACACTCCACAGTAAAACATAAAGAAAAGATTCTAAAAATATGAACAAGAGAAATGTCAGATTACTTTCAGAAGATCTCCAATTAGGCTCACAGCTGACTTTTCAGCAGAGAGAATGGTACGATATATTCCAAGAAACATATCTCACCAACAAGGCTACATGCAGACTGAAAGTGAAAGGATGGAAAAGGATACCCCATGCCAACAGAAACCAAAAAAATAGTTGGTGTTGCCATCCTAATACCAGACAAAATAGACTTGAACACAAAAGCTCTTAAAAGAGAAAAAGAATGGCACTATGCAATGACTTAGAGATCAATTCAACAGGAAGATGTAACTAATATAAATGTATACTGATCTAATTACAGGGCACCTGGCTATGTAAAAGAAATGTGAATGGATCTAAAGGGGGACATAGACTCCAATACAGTAGTAATGGGGGATATTAATACTCCATTTCAGCAATGGACAAATCAAGCAGACAGGAAATCAGCAAGGAAACAATAGAGTTAACTGACACTATAGACCAAACGACCTAACGGATACCTACAGGACCTTTCATTCCACAGTGGCAGAACACACATTCTTCTTACCAGTGCATGGAACTTTCTCTAGAACAGACCACAGGCTAGGCAATAAAGCAAGTCTCGGCAAATTCAAAAAAATCAAAATCATACCATGCATCTTCTCTGACTACAATGGAATTAAGCTGGAAATTGACAAATCAAGAATCTATAGGGGCTGTCACTGTGGTGTAGCAGGTTAAAGTCCTGGCCTGAAGCACAGGCATCCCATATAGGCACCAGTTCTAGTCCCGGCTGATCCTCTTCCAATGCAGCTCTCTGCTATGGTCTAGGACAGGAGGAGAAGATGGCCCAAGTCCTCGGGCCCCTGCACCCACATGCAAGACCCAGAAGAAGCTCCTGGCTCCTGGCTTCGGATCGGCTCAGCTCCAGCCATTGCAGGCTCTGGGGAGTGAATCAGCAGATGGTAGACCTCTCTCTCTGTCTCTACCTCTCTCTGTAACTCTGTCTTTCAAATAAATAAAATAAATCTTTTTTAAAAAAACAATCTATATAACATATGCAAACACATGGAGATTGAACAACATGTTCCTGAATGAACAATGGGTCATTGGGAAAATCAAAAGCAAAATAAAAAAATTCTGGAAATGAATAAAGATGACAAAGCAACATATTGAAACCTATGGAATACTACAAAAGCATTGTTAAAAGGAAATTTTTTAGCAATTGGTGCATATATCAAGAAATTGGGAAGGCAACAAATAAATGTGCAATCAACACATCTCAAAGATCTAGAAAAGCAACATCAAACCAAACCCAAAACTAGGAGAAAAGAAATCATTAAAATTAGAGAATAAACAAAATTGAAGTAAAAAAACTACAAAAGATCAATTAAATGAACACCTGGCTTTTTGAAAAAAAAAAAGAAAATTGATACACCATTGGTCCGATGAACCAAAAAAAGGGGAGAAGAGCCAAATCAATAAAATTAGTAATGAAAAATGAAATGTAACAACAGACACAACAGAAATAAAAAGAATCATCAACCAAGGGTGTCAAAGATCTCAATGATGAGAATTACAAAACATTAAAGAAAGAAATAGAAGCAGGCCAAAAAAGTGGAAAAATCTTCCATGTTCACAGAGTGGAAGAATCAATATCATTAAAATGACTATACTACTGAAAGCAATTTACAGACTCAGTCCTTGAATCCCCGGGGAGAACACACGCAAGGGCATTTGTCTCCTAGCACAGCCTGGACTGCAGCAGTCACTCCCCTCTCAAGATGGCACCTAACTGCAACATCCCTTGTTCTGAGGGGTAGGGAAGGGGACAACATAAGTCCTACTCGGAAGCCAAGATGCTACGACTTTTCCAGGGAAATCTGCTTACTGAGCTGCTAGTATGTGGAGACAAGCTTCTTTTCTAGGGAGGGTTGATAGGTAATCAGTTGGTCTCTGATGATGCTCTTCTGTTCACATACCACCCTATAACATGGAATTCCATC